GCTGGGCTGATCTGCGGGGATCAGGGCTGGGAACTCCATGGAAAGGATGGAAGGCTTCAAATGCACTGGGGTGAGCAGCTCCTCACCAGCCCTGCTCCCTCCCTCCTTTCCAGCAGGGAAAATGCCAGCCTGCAGCTCAGGCAGCCCAGCTCTCCCCACCATACCACACCCCTGTGCCCCATCTCAGCACCCTGTGCCCATCCTGTGCCCATCCCACATCCCTGTGCCCATCCTGTGCCCATCCTGTGCCCATCCCTCATCCCTGTGCCCATCCCTGTGCCCATCCCTGTGCCCATCCCTATGCCCATCCTGCACTCCCATGCCCATCCCACACCCTCTGCCCATCCCTGTGCCCATCCCGTGCCCATGCCGCTCACCTGAGCGCTGACATCCAGGCCCAGGGGCTGTGTCTCGTGCTGTTTGACCTTGCAGCCGCTCCTGCAGGGAGAGAAGCAGCAGCTGAGCGGGGCTGGGGTGGCCCAGGGGACAGGGACACGAGCAGACAGCCCAAGCAGGGGAGGCAGCCCCAGCACTGCACCCGCCGCGTGCCAGCGCCCACTCAGCACCCAGCACCGGGCACAGCAACCCCTGCAAGGAACAGAGGGAACAGGCAAACAAAAGACACGAGCACACAGYGCTGGGTTTGTGTGTGAGGTGTTTATTGCTGAGGAAGCCGAGGAGCAGAGCGAGGAGCCCGCGGGGCCGATGGTGAAGGCACAGAAGGATCTCCCTCGCCGCACCCGCCCTGCCTGTCCGGCACAGGGGCACCCGRTGAGTGTGGAATTCCTGCAGCAAGAGCCACGTCCAGGCTGTCCCRTGGCCTGTCCCTCACTGCAGGTCTGTCCGGGGCTTCTCTGCAGCGTCCACATCTCCCCGGGTCAGTCAGACACACGAGCAGAGCAGAGAGCACGGCGCTGACAAAGCCTCCAGTGGCACAAACGCTGTCCCGAGGAGCRGGGCCCTCCTCCCTTCCTTTGGGGAGTTGTGCCCGTGTCGCTCTYGCAGGAGATCCCTGGACCTTCACCCCATTCCTGCACACCCAGGGCAGCACTGCAGGCACACACCCAGCACACCAACAGCTCAGGCAGCCCAGGCACAGTCCTGTGCTGCTCTCCTGCACCTCTCCCCTCTCACTCCGCACTCAGCAATGCCCAGGAAATGCCTGCTGAGCTGGAACAGCTCGTGTGACAGGCACAGCAGGGAGGGATCCCAGCGTTCAGAGCCATCGCTCCCCGCTGCAGGGACACGGGCAAGGGCTGCAGTGACTG